TACGTATAAAACAACAAGAACGGACCCAGAATCGTTGTTTGCATGACGTCACACTAGTGCAACTTGTTTACATTTTCCTTGCAACATTTTTTCTTCTTCTTCCATTCTTGCTCACGTTTTGGCATTTCTCTCTCGCAATTGCACCAGTGTGACGTCCCACAAAAGTTATTCTCAAAAATCCTCTCTGATCGGCGCAATCTTGTATTCTATCATTCTTGACAGCTTACCAGCACTGCGGCTACTGCACCAAGAATGTATGGGTTGCCTAAGATACACAAACCAGAAATCCCTCTACGCCCAATTGTCTCTTCTGTAAAAGTCCCATGTATAAGCTGTCCAAATTTGTTGCAGGAATTCTTAAGACTGTGATATCCGAAAAGTACAACGTCAAAAATGTCCTAAAACTAAAAGATATGTTAACAAATGTTTGTGTGTGTGAAGAAGAGGTGTTAGTGTCGTTTGATGTTGTGTCCTTGTTTACAAATATACCGACAACTGTAGCAACCAGGGTTATTATGAATAAATGGTAACAAATTAAAAATATGACGCGGATTCCTAAACATAAGTTTCAAACCATTCTTGACTTTTGCCTCAAAGACAACAATTATTTTATGCATGACAACAAACTCTACACCCAAACTTTCGGAATGCCCATGGGAAACCCTCTTTCTCCAACAATCGCTGATATCATCATGGATGATCTGCTAGACAATACCCTTTTGGAACTCAAAAACGACTACAACATTGAAATTAAATTCATTACCAAATACGTGGACGACATTTTTGCGATTATCAAAAGAAACGACGTGAATAGCATTCTAAAACACTAAACAAATATCACAGCAAAATTCAATTTACTATAGAAATGGAAGAGAATGCCAGTATCCCTTTTTTAGACGCGGGTATTTTTAGAGTAAATGGCAACCTTATACTAGATTGGTATTCTAAACCTACATCTTCTGGACGCCTAATAAATTATTACTCTTCGCAACCCACCAAATATAAAATTAACACCGCCAAAAACTTTATACACAAAATATTGACAATAAGCCATGCCAAGTTTCACCCAACAAACATAGAAAAAATAAGGAAAATTTTGAAAACCAACAACTACCCTGACTACATAGTACGCGAACTATTAAAACAAAAATTAATGCAAATAGATAATCACCGAAATAAAACAGATAACTCAAAAGCAACGGATACAGCAAAAAAATATTACAGCGTGACCTACATACCTAAGCTAAGCGAAAACTGCAATCACCAACTGGCCAGAGCACAAAACATAACCTTTGCATATAAATCCAACCACCTTATCCTCAGTTTATACAACAACAAAAAGCCCAATTGACTCCCAACAGAAAAGCAATGTTGTGTATGAAATTCAATGTAAAGGCAAAGAAAACGAAGCCTGTGACAAAGTGTATATTGGAACAACTAAGCGAGCTCTAGGTACCCGGCTAGCAGAACACGAAGCAGATATAAAAAACGAAAAACAAACACAGCACTAGCACAACACATAGTAACGAGTGGACACACAGCTGATTTTAAAAACACTATAATAATAGACCAAGAGAAAAGGGAAAAGACTAGGTACACGCTGGAAAGTCTGAGAATAATGGAGAAAAGAGAAAAAACAATAAATAAAAAGGAAGATACCGATGACATTGCCGCGGCTTATATTTTATGTTTACAAAATTAATTTAAAAGTTTTCAGTCTTGACTAAACTACCACACAAGATGGTATTGGATATTTAGCAATTAAGATTTAGAAATGTTTAAGTGTTAATACTGTGAGTATTGTCTTGCATCGAGTTAGAATTGTTTGTTTACATATGTTATTGTCATCCAACTATATTTATATGTGAATACGTACATGTATGTATGTACTTGTTTGTGTTTCTCTGCTTTTAATGTTCTTTTTTATATTTTGTATTTATTGCTGTAACAGACAAAAATAAACAAACGCGCCCCTGATGATGCTAATAAGTTTAGCGAAACGTTGGGCTGTAATAGTGGAATAAACTTGTTTTATTTGCACTAAAGATAATTAGATCGGACTAGCCTATCAAGAAAATTCTGTAACATATCCAAACCGATCGGAAGCAACAAAAACAAAATTTTCTAATTTATAAAGGTTATTCAACTGGTTTATCTTATTTTATCATTGCATTTTTGTTTGGAAAATGTAGCTTTATTTTATTGCTAAATGTGAATGATTAAAAGGAATGACACCTTTTTTGGCACTTTTATTTTTCTAGTTGGCACATTTTGTGGCACTTTTTTATCCTCAATATGGCACCTCATAACTAAGGATAGTTGGCAGCCCTGATTGGAAGATTTCTGCTGTGTTTTGGGCAACAACTTGCCTGCAGTAAAAAAACATATAATTTGTGTTTAAAAAGTGTGTGAAAACCAATCAATTAACTCATATGATCTCGGTTCCGATATTAAATAATCAATAATTGTTTATACCCGCATTTTGGCACAATGGCTCGTTGAATGTGCCTTCTAATAAATAGTGTCGTCGTTCTCCTAAGCTGCTTTTAAATGATGTCACAAATTTCTGGCGGAGACATGAATACAGTGTTAGAAAATTCTTTTTCTATAATTGTTTCCTTATAGAAAGGTTGGTTTCTTTTCCACCTTAGACATTCCCAATTCGTTCAAAATATGCTAATTTAAAACACAGAATTCTTTCAGTGTTCCTCCGGGGTTTTTGGCCTTGGACTGTTCTTCAATTTAATAGTGTTCGCTTTATTTTTGTAGAAACGAAACAAGTTATGGATAATTTCTACACTCTTTCTTCAAATATTTCTCGTATTCCAGCTGTGCGCAGGCGTTTAGTTTTTCGCATCGTGTTTGTACATATTCGTAATTTAAATTGTTTTAATAAAATCAATTGGTGGTAGTTCATGATTGTGTGTGGATTAATATCACAACACTGAGGATTTGGCAATAACCTTTTTCATTTATTAAAAAACACCACTTACGGGGCAATGTTTATTGTAAGAACAACATTTTTTTCTATGAATACATACATACTTTAAGCATTGTTGACGCTATTTCCATTTGAATGAGGAAATAGCGTCAATGACTTTATTTCCAAATTTTTGTTGACTTTATTTCGCTTTTGTAAAGGTAATAATGTCAATTGACTTTATTTCGCACCAGGGTGGGAAATGACCTTATTTCCATTGAACTTATTACCTGTCACCCTTAAAATGTTTTAAATTTCATAAAAGTGTATATACATACATATTTATGTTTAATAATTAATATTTATGCAATTTGTTTTTAAAACATACTATGTATGAAAGTACTTGGAATCTAATTCCCAAATTTTTTCACATAGGAATTCATACTGTACATGTTTGTAGATACATACATACTTATGTACCCTGCAGCGCAAAGTACTAGTCGGGAGTTTTGGAGTCGAGTACCGGTACCTCGCAAATCTACCACCCATGCTTTCTGCTGTCGCATCTAACATGGAGTTGTCCTTGGAGGTGACAATTGCCTCCCTCAACGTAACTTTGCCCTGGTACTTGTAGTAGTAACACGTTGCCTGTAACCGAACTACGTTTTGTATGTCGCTGCGTAACCTGGTACTAGTAATAATAAAGGTTTCCATAACAAAACACAGTTACTTGCGCCTGATGAAATCTTTGTTATTTGCTTGCCAATCGAAATTATAACGGCGCGCCATGGCGGGTCAGCGTCGGGACAACTCATCTTTCAAGAGCGAAACATTAAATATGTAGTATTATCTTTCTCACACATAAAGAACTTAATATAAACACGATGTGAACGTGCACTTTTTTATTTATTTCATTTTCGACACAATGTTACTATTTTGTTATTATTTCAGAACTTTTTATTATTAGTTCTAAACCTAACAACGGAGCACAAAGTATTCGAAAATATGCATTTACTGCAAAATATGCTGAAATATGCATTTATTGCAAAATATGCTAAAATATGTCTAAGAAATGTATCTCAAACTTTATATTTTTTGGAAAAACGTTAAAGCATTTCATCAGCGTTAACGTTTCAATGGTACCTTTTCTAGCTAATTAGTGAGCCATACAATTTTCAACAATGTCGCGGTGACCCGGTACCCAAATGAGGCTAATACAGAAGTAATCCTACGCAAGCTCGTTTAAATTAATAACATAAAATGTTAAGCAAATATCAATCTGTAGGTACTCACCGTCAATTTCGCAGGCGTCACACCACTGTCGCCCTGTGACGCGTCTGTTGCAGTCGTAGCCGCAATAACTGCGGCTGGTGTAGGCATAGTCGCGGTAGGTCCAACTGCAATCGAATTTTCTTGCACCAAACTATTCGGACGGCCTTCAATGCGATGCAAACAGGAGAAGAATACACAGACGATGAAGAGAAATATTAATTTACGATTTGTCAGCAGCTTAAAATGCCGAAACGGTTTTGTTTTGGAAGCATCTTTTTCATTGTCTTGCGGCGCATGCGACCCAATGTCGCTGTTATTTTCATGTTCTTTTCTTTTGTTTTCCTGTTCCTGTCGCCTACGAGCCTCGACGAAACGTGGATCGTCATGTTTAATAGTAACTGCATCACAGAATGCAACGAATGCTAGCCAAAAGCTAAGGAGTTGCGCACGCGCGAAAGCAAGTACATCACTTGTTAGCGATTCACTATTTTTTAAAGCATCATCAGCAGTTTGTATGCTTGTTGCAATTGAGGAGTTTGCTTTTTGTTTAGCTTCTACTTTGGTTTCTGTTTTTACGCTACGGTCAGTTATATTACTACTTTGGCTTAAACTTATAGTTGCGATTTTTGGACAACAGTCACTAATTACTACATTATTATTATTATTATTATTATTACTACTACTACTATAGTTGTCATTATAACTAACCTTTTTCGCATAACCTTTACTAACAGCAGCACTGTGATATACACGATCATTATAAGCGTTTGCAAGTTTTTCTTTGCAATTATTAGAGGAATCACTAGCATTATTATTATTATTATTATTATTTGCAATATTTTTCATAATTTTACTAAAAGTAGCACCATTCAAAACCATTGTCACTTCGTTATCGATAGAAACATTTTCTGTAACTGCCTTACTGTTAATGCCAGAGCTGACATCATCACCATCACTGTCTGTACAATTATCTAACGCAACGGAGTCCGAATGACAATCAGAATCAGAATCAGAATCATTTTCATTATCATCATCTACATCCCCATCCACATTATCATCCTCGATGCCGCCTACCGCAACTCTGGTTGTCATCGTCGTCGTTGTTGCCATTGTCGTAGCGGTCGCGGCGGCAGCGGCAGCTCTTTGACACTTCACGAATCCTATTTGTGCTTGTTTTGGGTGACACCAGCAGGCATGTTGTTGCCTCGAATCTCTTTGATGTTGCATCATATCCACGTAAGATCCAGCAATTGGTACACTCGCATAAATAGTCTCTTTCATTTTATTTGCAATTCGTTGCTGTTCGCTATTCAAGCAATCATGCAGCTGATTGGTAAGCGTTTTCACTTCTAATTTTTTGGAATTTTTTGTTATAGCTACAATTTTATCATTTGTTATTAATAATTTCTTTGGTACATCAGCATCACCAAAACGCGTAGCATTTTCATGTAAAATCGTATTGATTAACATAACAGCGATAGGGATGTGTTGGCAGAGGACAAGACACTGTGTGAGACTAAAATAAATAAAATTTCACTTGCCGTAACGTAACACAATGTGGGTATGTATTCCAATAAGTATCGAATAATGCGTAGAATTAGGTTTTATACATATATTTTTTAACCAGATCGGTTTGTTATACCCCTCTCTGCGTGCATCAAGATGTTTTTGTATTATATCTCCCGAATTCAAGCTTTTAAGTAGGTTTTAAAACTGTAAGAAAATAGAAAAAAATAAATAAATTGGTATTGTATTACAGAGGGTTTTACATGGTTAAAAATTATACGGCAGGCGTATTTTTTATCTTCCAAATCAAAAATGAAAACTTAAAAGCAAACACTTCTAATTTATAGCCAAATATTGTATCGGTGGCAAAGATTTTGTAACCAACAATTTAAATTTTTCATATATTTTTCCATAAAAAACGTGTTGCAAGAATTTGTCACTGATACAAAATAGAGCCGTTAGTATAAGAAGAGTTCAGAGGGTCGCATGCATCGGCACTACTGGGGCAATTAGAACTTGCCCTACGGACACTCGCAATGTTAGTTATTACAAACCTATTTCCTGCAGAGGCCTTTACACCTTTTTTAAATCGATAATGCTCTTTTCTTTTTCCAAAATACTGCATTCATATGAAGCAAAACTTTTTTGCGTGCTACCTAAATTTTTACAATCCACAGATGAAGAATAAATTTATCAGTCGTTGCTACAAAACGGTATAAGCTAGCAGCGAATGGTGCGTGGAAACACGGTATAAAAATGCATATGGGTCATTTCCAAGCAAAGTGTACATGGCAGGTATATTTTATATTTTTTTTAAAGATTGATAACTTTATCTTCTGAAATCGATTTCTGGCGTGAAAATTTGTGCAGAATACGAAACTGCTTTTAGGCACGGTTGTCACTGTTGGTTGTTTTAAACCAACTTCCAAAAAAGGAGGAGGTTATCAGTTCGTCGGAATATTTTATTTTTTTTTTTATGTATGTTACCGCATAACTTTGGACGACGTCAACCGATAATTCTTTTTGCAACGGAAAGGTAGTGTCTCAGAGGTGGTCCCATACTAATTTGGTTTAGATCCGATCATTGAATCATGAAATATATAGATATATATATATTTTTTTTTTAAGTCGGTTTTTTTTGCTAAAAATTACTTGTTCTTTTATTTATTCTAATTTGGTTGTTTGGTAGTTTTTCCTCTGGTTTGGATGTGTTTCTTTTTAGTTAGAAATTAGCAAATTTTTTCTTTACAAAAAGTACTATTGCATACTGAATGCCAAAAATGAATAAATAAATTCCTATTTTTAATGTAACGTGTTTTATGTGCACATATAAAAAGTAAATAAGTAATAAGTAAATAAATATAACTTCTACCAAAATATAAATTAATGTTATTTTTCCACAAAATTTTCATAAAAAAAAACGGCTTCAAGCTCAATAAAATTGTTGAATTTTTGCTTTTTAACCGACTTTACAAAAAGGAGAAGGTTATCAGTTCGTCGGCATATTTTTTTTATGTATCTTACCGCATAACTTTGGACCACGTTAACCGATTTCTATAATTCTTTTTTTAAAGAAAAGTCGTTACCTCACAGGTGCTCCCATTCTAATTTAGTTTAAATCCGATCATTGGATCATGAAGAAGTTAACGATAAACTTACAAATTTGGTTGCTTTCCTTTCAATTTGGTTGTTAGATTTTTGTTGGTTATTCTTTTAACAAGTGACAAACGTGCTGTACAATCGTCTGATTGTAATGAAAGAGCACCCTAATGCGGTCTCTAGTGGAGAAAGAAGGCACTCCAAAATCAACAGTCGCCGCGCGCACACGGGGAATCGGCTATCTCAAAGTTGATAGAAAATATACATTTATATTTGCATACGTATATCCTTGCACAAATTTATACTGGTATTACACCTTCTGAAGAAAGATAAATTAATCAAGACGAGGACGTGGTCAAAGATTTGTGTTATAATCTGTTTCCCCGAAGTGGTAGAAACATCGTCTGTGGCAACTTTTTTCAACTACCCCGAGATGATCCCGAATTGAGCCCAATATTGTCCTAAAATGGTTCTGAAAAAGTAATGGCATTGTCCCGAAATGATCTCCAGCCAGTCCTAAAACGGTTCCGAAATTGTTCCTTACTATTGCCAAAATTAACTCAAACTTGACTCGAAATGATTCCGAACTAAACAGTCCCTAGATAGTCATAAAATAGTCCTAAACTACCCCCTATATGGTGAATTAGTCCCGAAATGTTCGTGAAATTCTCCTCAACTAGTCTCGAAATGGTATATAGCTAGGTTCGAAATGGATATCAAATAGTTGTGAACAAGTTCCGAAATGAGCTGGAACTAGTCCCGAAATGGTACAGAACTAGTACTGATAAGGACCTGAAAGCGTCCAGAACAGGTCCCGAAAATATCCTAAACCAGTAATGAACTATTCCCGAAATGGTCCTGTTATGGCACTGAATTAGTCCATAAATATGCATTTGCACACATAAGAAGCAATTTCTGCTGGGTTACGCAAGAAGCAGTTACAAAAAAAAAATATCTTAGACACATTCTCTGAATTTATATGCATATACATCTAAAAATTTAAAACTTATCGGGCGGATGTTCGTTGAGTTTTCGAACCTTAGCGACTGCTGCATTATAAACATTGCAGTTGTGCTCAGATCGCCTAAAAAAGCTCGAATTTCTAGTGCTACAGGGCCATAAATGGCCGGGCGCTGTGGCATACGGCCCCATCTTGTTGAAAACGCATTTCGTCCATATCCAAATGTGAAATGACGATTACCTCGTCTATCTGATATTAATAAAAATTCGAGATCATTAATCCGGTGAAGTGGAAATAGTGATAGGAAGCAAACATTTTCGAGAATGTAAATGGTTCAAACGAATTTATGTCTTAACTTAAAGACTCACGCAATAGCAAAGATTATCTGCATGGAAAAATACAAATTAATATTTGCCCGAAAAAAACTACATATAGATAACATATCTTTTAATTTTTTCACAAATAAAATATTTTGCAAACGCAACTTACATTTTCATAAAATTGACAAGGCACTCTCAACGGTTCAATTAACATAGTGCGATATGCATACACACATAAAAAAATAGTTCTCAAAATTCACTCTATGACACTTGTGGCTCTATCACTGTCTGATAATAAATTAATAAACGCGCGTCAACGGAATTGAATTATCAAACAGGCGCAAAAAAAATATCAAATTATGTATAACAGTAACAAAATCACCAATTAACAGGCAAAACACCAACTCACCTGTAGCAATAACCGACTTAAACTGGTTAAAACTCAAATTCGACGTGTGGTATTTAAAGATTTTTCAAATAAACTCTTAATATTGGGAGAAATTTTCACACGAACTCAACGACTAAAAATAAGTAAAGGGTGATGCAGATATTTTACAGCAATTCTTTGTGATATTTCAGACAATTGGTACTAGGCTTTGGCAAATTTAGTCATGGAGTGATACTCAGTTGAACAACGAGTAAAAGTGATCCAAACGTTTTATCGAAACGGTCGTTCTGCAAGAAGTGCATTTCACGCATCGCGTAATTTTTTCGGTTAACATAACCGGCCAACCGGCCGGAGTCAACAAACAGCTGTTTGGTGCAGAACTTGGAAGATACTGGGTCGGTGACAAACGCGATAATACCCGTCCGTCGTCTTATAGATCGTTAGACCGAAAATATTGCTGCTGTGGAACAAAGTGTGACCCACTGTCCGCTATAACCCGCTACGGTGAACAGTGAACGATATCGTGGCATGATAACAAATTTTATATAGGCTGAATTAAATGACGTGGACAAGGACAATATGTGGTTTCAACAGGACGTATGCCACTTACCACTCAGAACATGTAACAACGGCCACATTGCAAATGAAGTTCACAGGACGCCAAGAAAAGTATGGTCTAGAACAGAGATGGGAAGGAGCGGGCTTGGCACATTTAGGTGCTTGATGAGGGGTGACGTCAAAAGTCAGCATGAAGGGGGAAGAAGAGCGTAATAAAATTTCTTGTACTTCGATTACTAATATATGTACATATATGAGGCTTTTAATGTATTTTTTACACCCCCTTTACCAAGAGAACTGCTTTACCACTTGTGTAGCACTTGCTGGCTCTTTGACTGCTTTAAGAGCCAAAAGTTTGCCCATCCCTGGTCTAGAACGATACTTTAAACCGAAAGTCATGGAAAATTTGTATATGCGCATCCAATGTTGCCATAGGAGTCGTGGTGGCCATTTAATGGATATTGTGTTTCATACATACATCATGAAATAAAAAATAATAATAATTTCAAAAAAATGTTCTATATTTTATTTATAAGAGAAAATTTGCGGTCCTATTAAAAATCACCCTGTATTTATGAGCTACCGTACGATAATAGATTAATTGAAGTTTATGTGAGATCAAATGCATAAAAAGATTTGCACAATCGTAATGACGTAACGATGAATTAAAAACTCATATCCAATAAATTTATGGCAGCGAGTGTTTCTAATTACATATTTGCTTAGAATGTTATCGAAGTTTGTGAAACGAAATGATTGACAGCTAGACAACTCATTCCTTGCTTTATTTAACTTCGTTCTTTTTTGAACAAAAAATTTGCAAATGAAAAAGAAATGGATCGTAGTTACTACAAATTTGCATGCTTCATTTAGTTTGCATATTTAGCACAATTAGCATTTTGTTAATTGAAATCTGTTTCGCAAAAATTTTTTTTAAGTTAAAAGTCCATTAGCATGCAATTAGTTTGGTATTAAGTAGATGTATTAGCATTCTTTCTTAGTGGTCTTTTCAAACATCTGTTCGAACCACAAGTTTCTGAAGGAAAATATTTACAGGGCACTTCTGGCAACTGTCTTTCAATTCACCACAGTCTTTCGAAAGACAAAAGGCTTTTCTAGGACAATTGTCAATTGTGGCAAATATCTCGAGAGCTCTTTCTGTCTTTGAAAAAACTCATTCAAAGATATACTAACGGGAAGGTCTTAGTATTATTCTGCTTGTCTCTTAGTAATAAGTTTTCTAAAAATAAAATAAAATAACAAAATATATTTTTACTTTTTAAAACAATAAAAACTAAAAATAAAAGAAAATTTAATTAAAAAAAGAAAAATAATAATAAATTAGTCTCCAAAAATTAAAGGAAATAAAAAAATA